AACTCTTGGTATAGAACCTTATCAAAAGCCTGGAGATACTCTCGCAGTTAGTGGGAGTGTAAACTGGTACAACTCCTGGGGGGGGCAATGTATCTATTCATCAAGTTTTACAAATGCAAATTTTACAAAAACCTTTGAACATACAAATGTTCAAGGTTATTTGTTGTAGCATTGGTTTCAATATTAAGTGAGTGGAAACAACCCAAATGTACATCAACAGGAAACTATTTAAATAAATTGTGGTGTATCCACACAATGGAAAATTATGCCGCTGTAAACGAGAATGAGGAAGCTTTCTAAGTATTAATGCAGAAAGATCTCCAAATAATATTGTAAATGAGAAAGCAAGTAAGAACAGCATGCTTAATATGCTATCTTTTGTCTAAAAAGGGCGGGGGTATAAAACTCTATATTCACAATTGTTCATATTTGCATAAAGAGCCCCTAGAAGGGTACCCAAGAATCTAAGAACAATGGTTCCCTACGATAAGGAGTGATGAGAGTGGGAACTCAGCTGATGGGGGACAAGAAGGCAGGAAAGACTTTTCACTATATGCCTTGTCATATTCTTCAGTTGTCCAACCATGAAAATGATTTGCGTGTGTGTGTGTGTGTGAGGAAGATTGGCCCTGAGCTAACATCTGTGCTCATCTTCCTCTATTTTGCATGTGGGACGCTGCCACAGCATGGCTTGATGTGCGGTGCGCAGGTCCGAGCGCCAGATTTGAACCTGCAGATCCCGGGCCCTGGAGGCAGAGCACACAAATTTAACCACTACGCCCCTGGGCCGGCCCGAAAATGTACTTTTCTAAGCAAACACTTACATAGCACTTACAATATGTCAGGCACTGTTGCAAGCCATTTAAATTAGTAACTCATTTATCATTATTATTTAGTAATATGAATACTTATTCAAACTTTAATTTAAAGAGTATCTCAGAAGTGTCATAATTGTACTGTGGTTATGCAGAGAAATATCTTTGTTCTTAGGAGACAATATGTGTAATTATTTAGAGATGAAGTTCGCATGTCTGCAACTTTATCTCAAACGGTTTAGCAAAGAAAAACATCTGTGCGTGCATTTGTGAGTGTGTATGTGTGTCTGTGTGTGTGTGTGGAGAGAGAGAGAGAGAGATAAAAAGATAACACAAATGTGGCCAAAAAAAAAAGGTAAATCCACACAAAGGTTATATGTGTACCCATAGGCTTATATGTGCAACTTTTTTGTAGATTTAAAATTTTCCAAGGTAAACATCGGAGGGGAAAAAGTATCTCAAAAACGTCCTTAAAACTTAAATAAGAGGCTGGCCCACTGGCACGAGCGGTTAAGTGCGTGTGCTCTGCTGCGGCGGCCCGGGGTTTGCCGGTTCGGATCCCGGGCGTGCACCAACGCACCACTTGGCAAGCCATGCTGTGGCAGCGTCCCATAGAAAGTGGAGGAAGATGGGCATGGATGTTAGCCCAGGGCCAGTCTTCCTCAGCAAAAAGAGGAGGATTGGCAGATGTTAGCTCAGGGCCAGTCTTCCTCACAAAAAAAAAAAAAAAAAACTTAAATAAGAGGCCAACCTAGTGGTGTAGTGGTTAAGTTTGTGCGCTCTGCTTTGGCAGCCCGGGGTTCGAGGGTTTGGATCCCAGGCGCAGATCTACACACCACTCTTCAGGCCACGCTGTGGCAGTGACCCACATACAAAATAGAGGAATATTGGCACAGATATTAGCTCAGGGCCAATCTTCCTCACCAAAAACAAAACAAAACAAAATTAAATAAAACGTTTCTATTTAGTTTCTACAAGCTCTTTGGACTGGATTTCAAGCCCCTTAGAATATATCTCAATTTATCTGTCCAGCCTCCTTACTTTTCTTGAACCCTATGCTCAAACTAAACTGTCTCCATTTGACCAAATCTTACCTATGAAGCATATCTCAAAAATCACTTTCTTTAAGATGCCTTTTTTGAGTCTTCCAAAATAATGTGATCTCTCACCATTTTGAATATCTATAGCACCCTTAGTTCTACTGAGATACATTATATTCTACATTTTGTCATAATCATTGCATGTTTTTATTATGTAAAACAACAGAAATGATAATGCATATTAGATGTGTATAGTAGTATACTTACCTATTGGATATCCACTATCTATAACAATAATTATAGGTTATGAGTTATTCCCTAAGAACTTGGAATTGAAAGAAAAAAGTGTCTTCTGAGAACTAAGAGGCAAGATTAATGTATGTATAGTGGAAAAGGGTGACACGGGCAGTCATTGGAAGGGGACAGGCTACCAGCTCCCCCTTGCACAAGCGGCTCCCTCTGCTGCAACCCTCATTTCCCTTAACCCCTTCAGCTCTCAGTCCAGGGTTACACCTTGAGGGAAGGATTCTCCAAACTCCCTGCTGGTCAAAGCCCCATTACATCATCTGAACCTCCTCTTAGCACTTATCACATTATTATTAACATTGGTACGTGTAATTGACCTCTATCTGCCTCCTCTACCAGACTGTACACTCCAGGAAGGAAGGAACTGTTACTGTTTTTGTTCACCATTGTCACCCCAGTACTTAGCACAGTACCTGGAAAATAGTAGGCCCTAGTATTTTTTTGAATGAATAAAAAAAGAAAATGTGTCCATCTAGAGGAGGAGGGAGAAGAGTTGCTGAGCCTAGGAGGCAAAAAAATAAAAAAGAGGCAAAAATGAACATCCATGCACTCTCAAAGGGAGAAAGAAGCTGAATAATTGGACTCTACTGACTTCTACAATTAATAAATCCCATTCACACTACATATACTCATACATATATACATATATATATATGTTTTTAATTCTGCCCTTTCTTATTAATAATTATTACGTTTTTAGAGCTGGGCAGGGCCTCTTGTTTTTACTCATTTTCGTTTTCCCAAGAGTTTCTAATTTCTCTTAAATGACGTATCAGGATGGTTGCTCTGGACTTCCCAAGTTCTTACCCACCCCCTCAACTTTTCTAAGAAAAAGTGGCTTTAAGTTCCCCATACAAAAATTATGGTTTTTTTCCCAAAGAGTTATGTTCATACGTGTAGATTTCCCCCAAGCAACAGAGATAAATTTTGGCTTCAGCGGGTCACGTTCCACCCAATAATGGCTTGTGATTTCCATTTTCAGTCTGTGTTGCAGCCTGGGACAAAACCCACTGAGGGAGCAACGGGACATTCTCAGTAATCAGCTTCCTCAGTAAGAGTTTTACTTTGGGAAGTACTTAGGGCCTTTTTTTTTTAAGGTGCCCGGCGGAAGAGCTTCCCTGGGCCGTCTGAGCGACCTTCCGCACCTCGCCGTGACCCGCGACCCGCCGCGCCGCCCAGGCCCGCTCCCTGGCGGGAAAAGCGCGCGCTCCGCGGGGCGGTTTCGGCGGGCGAGGTCACGTGGCCCGCTGTGGCCAATGGGGAGCGCGTGGGGTGCGCGCGCGGCCGGGGGCGGTCTCCGGCAGGGGCGCGCTTGGCTCGCTTCCAGCCACTGACCCGAGCGGGAGGCGGGGAGTCCTGGTCCCTGGAGTACGCAGCCGGGCGCCTGATTAGCCTGGCTTTGGCCTTCTCGACTCTATAGTAGTAACTCCACGTCCCTCTCACACCGCCCCCTCAGTCTGCACATCCCCCACTTCTTCAGCGATATCGTAAAGTATAAAGGGAGAAAGGCGCTGCTGCCTCCTGGGCCAGGAAAAGCGTGGGGAGGAAAAGGGAGGCTTGTGTCCGCTACCACCTCTAATGGGGGGAGGCCCTTGTTTCTGATTGACAGCCGTTGAATGCACATTGGTGGCCCACCCGACTAAAATACCAGTCACAAAGAAGATTTTACATACACAGTAAAGCGAGCGTTCTAGGCTTGAAAAACGTGTAGATTAAGTAGTTGGCTGTTACTTATTATTTATAATCAAAGGTAGTAGCATTATTAATTCTTCACCCTGCTTCTGCTTTTGAAGTGAAACTGTAATTACGAAAGCATTTTGGGTAAATGTGGCAACCGCCCACAGGGCACCTCAGAAGGTACCCATCAGCTTTAGGAGCAATCTGAGGATCAAGTGGTATAGCGAGTGAGAAAACATGTTGGAAAAGGTTTACAATAAAATATAAGTTCTAGAAGACTGGTGACGATTGCACACCTTTGTGAATATACTAAAAACCACTGAATTGTGCACTTTAACAAGTTGAACTTTATGATGTATGAATTACATCTCAAAAAACAAAATATATGTTCTAGAAGGTATGCATAGGTGACAATCTCAGGCTTTGAGACATAACTGTTGACACTTGCACAGATGAAAATTCAAAACTTTAGTCAATTGAGTTCTTTCTAGAAAACGGATACCACATTTGATATGGTGGCAAGAGACGCTCAGGATGCTTGAAATTTCCACTTTCTCAGTGGCATGTAAATCTTTTTAAGTTGGAGAGTAGTTTGAGATTAGTTTTAATAATTCCTTTCAGGTGTTTAGCATATTTTTAATCTAAAAGTCTAAAACTCCATAAATTTAACCCCAACATTTTTTAATGCTCTTCAAAACAAAAGACTTTAATTTTCCAACATTCTAAGACATTTAGGAATCATACATTTTTGCAAAACAAAATTTCAAGTTTATCGTTCCTTCATGTTCTTTCCTATACTGGCAAAATCAAGAAGGAACCTAAACTGAATTTTCCCCACCTTACCAATGCAGACACGGTCAGGTCAAGTGTAAAGACAAATTTTTATTAAAAAATAAATTTGATCTATTTCAGTAGATTTGAGATCATCCTAATTAGTTGTAACATCAATGATTCGGCGTTAACAGAAACTAAGAGATTTAATACCAGGAAGCAAAGTCGGTTTTACATTTTTACCTCCTAAAAACTTTGATGAATAGATTTACCACTCTCTTCTTACAGTTAATGTTTAAATAATCTAATGCCCAATTTTATGTCCTCAATATCAAGAAAAATGTACCCTAAGCAGAAGATTTATCTTAGTTTAATACAAATAATATCTTACCGGCGTTCCTTGACATGGCTGAAACTTGCTGGGAGCTGACAAGTCGGGTCATGTATGCCTTCTGAAAACTGTATTTTACCCAGGGTGATTTGCAACAATTTGTTACTTTGGGAGAGGGATTCAGAAGTTCTTTAGGTTCACAAACAGTGGCATCATATATTTTCTTCATGTTTTTTCCCTGTTGAAAAATACATTTTCAGAGGATTTTCCCCATTTCTCAGTATATATTTGGTATGTTAGGTGAATATTGGTGTTCTAACAATGCAAGCAGCCTTTATTCCATACATAAAAGGGTTATAGATTTGGGTGGAAGATGGAACAGGGGGATCTCTAAGGTCTTTTTCAACTTAGATAAACATCTTTCTGTGTTGCTTGGTCTTTAGATCTGCTACACCACCCACATCCTCATCTCCCCGCAGTTTTTCTTCATCTTTTCAATAGCCACATTCCATCAAGGGAACAGTCTAAATTAGTACACACAGAAAAAGGCGAGACAAATTAGTGTAACCGAAAGAAAAACAGATCAAAAATCCAAAGTGAGGAGGTTTGGAGATGGGATACATTCTTTGTCTTACTCCCTGGTATGTGCGTGTGTGTGTGTGTGTGTGTGTGTGTTTCCTACCCAGAATGATTCTGGTATTCTCTCTTTAATCCTCCATATACATAAACACACAGTCCACCTCTACAGACACTAATGAAGGCTATTCTCCAGCCCCTTCCGTTTTTTCCTAATATTGTAGCACCAATCCAATAAATTGAAGAATTGAACTAAGACTTTCATTGTCTACCAGGGCACTTAATTCTCTCGCCTTAAAGGTTGGCCACAGAGTTTGACTTTCTATTTTACCTTCTAAATCTAAGCAGTTACTGGAAAGGGAAGAAATGGATAAGAGAGGTCAGACCGTGGATAAGAAATGGATAAGAATGACTAAAGAAGGTAACGGGGGAGGCCTTCAGGGCCTTAGATCAGTGCTATCCAATAAAAACATATGAACCACATATGTAATTTTAAGTTTTCTAGTAGCTGCATTAAAAAAGTAAAAAGAAACAGGTAAAACTAATTTTGACGATATATTTTATTTAACCAAATATATCCCAAAATAAATCCAAATGATGTTATTTCAATAGGCAATCAATATAAAAAATTATTAATGAAATATTTTATATTTTCATTAATATAAGTCTTCAAAATCTGACATGTATTTTACACTTAGAATACATCTCAATTCAGACTAGCCACATTTCAGGTGCTCAGTAGCTACACGTGGCTAGTGGCTACTGCATTGGACAGTAAATACAGTAAAGCTGTATTGCACCTTCAGAGGAAGAAGCAAGAATTGAAAAGAAATGACTGAGAGAAAGGCAATACGCAGCTGTCTCAGCTACATAAAATAAGAGGGGGGAATCACCAAGCAGAATTCTGACTCATCATTTTTCAAATGTACCACATTTTCCTGTGTAGAATGCTACTTCAATATTTTTTTTAAAGATTTTATTTATTTTATTTTTTCCCCCCAAAGCCCGAGTAGATAGTTGTATGTCATAGCTGCACATCCTTCTAGTTGCTGTATGTGGGACTCGGCCTCAGGATGGACGGAGAAGTGGTGCCTCGATGCGCACCCGGGATCCAAACCCGGGCCACCAGCATTGCAGCGCGCGCACTTAACCACCAAGCCACAGGGCCGACTCTTCAATATTTTGATTATTGTAATTTGGGCCAGATTAGGGGAGAGGGTTGTGGGATGAAGGGGTGTGAGTGCCTGGGCATTCTTGATGTCTTAGGCAGCCTGACATTTTAACTATACTCATCAGGCAACCTTCTGACCTTAAATTTGGTTTCTCAAATAAATTTTCCATTGAGAAAATGACATGCTCTCCGGCTAATGCATCAGAGCCAGATCAGCCCTGGATAAAATTATTAAATTACTAAGTGGGCAAAGTTGATAGTCAAGATGCAGTTATGGGGTGAGATTCTTATCTGAAAGAGCCAACTGACAGCCTTACCCATCAGCCCATTGTGAAACTGTCATTTTGTACTAGTTATTCACATGACATTGCTAGATAACAGAGAATAAAATATCTAACCATGGTCTTTTAAATTAAACGATCAAGAATGTTGGACTTGATTTTCCCCAAATAGGTTTTTATTATAATATAATTTTTCCCAAACAATTCTGCAGGATGTTGAGGTATTTATTGAAAAATAATCAATGCTAATTATATTTTTCATCTAAATTTTATTTTTAAATGTATGTAAAAAAAACACTATGCTCTTTTATATAGTATAATTAGTTAGTATAATTAGATAATTGCCTTTAAGACATGGTGTGCCTACCTGAAAACACCAGGAAACCCCAGGATTTACAAAAGCATATAATGGATTTGCACATGGAAGCCTAGGCAACCATTGAACTCATATATGTTGTCTATCTAATAATCATTGGTTTATGTTAGGTATCTTGTCCTATTATTTCAATATATATTTATGATATTTTTCACTTAATAAAATTATTTTATCTACTTTGCTTGAAGGTTGTTCCGACATAAAGTTTAAAATATATATGAGTGAAGTTTTTATCATTTCTTGCAGCAACTAATTCATCTATGGGTTCACACTGCTGTCTATATCTGGTAGGCTGAACAATGGCCCCTCAAAGATGTCCACATCCTAATCCCCAGAACCCATGAATATTTTACCTTACATGGCAAAAAGGACTTTGTAGGTGTGGTTAAATTAAGGCTGTTGAGAAGTGGAGATTATCCTGGATTATCTGGGCCCAGCCTAATCATATGTGTTCTTATAAGAGGAAGGCAGGAGGGCCAGAGTCAAAGAAGGAGGTGTAACAATGGAAGCAGAGGTCAGAGTGATGTGAGAAAGGGTCTATGAGTCAAGGAACAAAGGAAGCCTCTAGGAGCTAAAAAAGGCAAGGAAACCAATTCTCCCCTAGAGCCTCCAGAAGGAACACCAACCCATTTTAGACTTCTGACCTCCAGCACTATAAGATAATAAATTTGTGTTGTTTTAGGCCACTTAGTCTGTGGTAATTTCTAAGAGCAGGAATAGAAAATTTACACCCTATGTTGATCTGAGTGCATATTATATTAGTGTCAGTATGTTATAATTTTAAAAGTTTTCATTGTAAAATAAACTTGGAGATGGACAAGAGTCCATATTTACAGTATAGTGTTTCCATAACAATAACTAGGATTGTTGAACTCTAAGTGACTACTTATTGATGGTGGCAACTGTAAATTAAGCTATGAATCTTTATAGCAAACAATATATATTGATCAATAGTGAAAAATATATATTAATCCCTAACTGAATGCCAGACATTGTACTAGACACCGGGGATATAGCGGTCAACAGGTCAGAAATGATCCCTTCCCTCATGGGGGTGACAATCTAGCAAGAGAGACAGGCATATACACCTAATTAGAGTCGTGGCATGTGTTATGAAAATATACCATGGGGAGTGGACCTAACCTAGGCTGGGTGGTCAGGAAGGACTCATCTAGGAATGATGTTTAAGCTGGGACCTAAAAGATGACTTGGAATTGGCCAGGAGGGAAGATGAGGAAGGGAAAAGAACATGTTTCAGAGAGCTGGAACACCAAACGCAAAAGCCCAAAGGCAGTAAAGAACTCAAGGCATTGGAAGAACTAAAAATAAAAACATTGAAGACTTTCTAGTTCAAGATAGCTGAGATCTTTTCTGCACCACTTCTCTCAAAAATAACAAGGAGGGGGGAAAAAGACCCCACAAACACAAATTTCATCTTTATTGAACTGGTAGTCATCCCAAACCACAATGCATGAAAATGGAAAATGGATGAAGGATGGCAAAGGACTTAGCAGACCCAAGAGAAGGAGAAACCAAGGAGAAGCAAGGCAGGTCACCCTGAGGAACTCTGGGAAGACTCAGGAAATGGAAGCCAGTCAAGTGCAGAAGGAACTTACAAGAGTGAAGATGGAAGGAGTGTAGTGCTGAAGAGGGAGATTTGTTTGAAAATCTGTTTAATAAGTGGTCAGATCCCCAGGTCCCCACTGCACCTGATAGAATTGGGCTACTACTTTTACCGCTATAGGAAACAGGAAATGTCACCTCTGGAGAAAGTAAACCAAAGAAGTTCTAGATGTGGGGACACCAGGCATAGATCAGAGTGGGAGTGAGACAGCGTCCTGCAAAGAGAGGAATTAAGTCTGAAACTGAGAATGAGACACCCAAGCTTCTCCTCCTGCTCACATACAGAACTTCGCAGCCAAGTTGTACTGTCTAGCAGAAAATAGAGTACTTTTCAGGAAAAAATGAACCATACCAGAAAAAAGAGCCACCAATACTGACATTTGGGCGTCTCCATAGGAAAAGCCTACAGTGAATCCCTTCAATTGACAAGACTCAAATGTGCACTCAGGCCTCCAGTCAGCTTTTAGGACTTCACTCTTAAAATATGAATGGACAAAAATCACTAGATACCAGAGTAAAACCTTCAACATGAAAAAATAAAAAATCTCCAACATGTAAGCATCAGGGGGGAAAAAGGAACCACAAGAAATAGAGACAATGCAGGGAGCATAAAAATAATTCAAAGTATCATCAGAAAAATATTGTATCCATGAAACAAGAACAGGATCCTACAAGAAGAAATAATCTAAAAGCAAGCAAGAACAGTTGGAAATTACAAATACTATAACTAATTAAAATTCAGTAAAAAATTATTTATTGAAAGATAAAGACAAAGAAATATCCAAGGTAGAATGACCTCGAAAATTGTTACACGTCAGAAAAAGTCATGAGGACATTCTACAAGATAACTGGCTAATCTTTTTTAAAAATCAGTATTATAGGGAGATAAAATGGTGGGCAGATGGGGAGTACTGCTCTAGATTAAAAGAGGCTAAAGAGGGGCCGGCCCCGTGGCCTAGCGGTTAAGTGCGTGCACTCCGCTGCTGGCGGCCCGGGTTCGGATCCCAGGCGCGCACCAACATACCGCTTGTCAGGCCATGCTGTGGCAGCGTCCCACATAAAGCGGAAGAAGATCAGCACGGATGTTAGCTCAGGGCCAGTCTTCCTCAGCAAAAAGAGGAGGATTGGCATGGATGTCAGCTCAGGGCTGATCTTCCTCACAGAAAAAAAAAAAAGAGGCTAAAGAGATAAAATAACGAAAT